TGTGTGAGAGAGAGAGAGAGAGAGAGAGAGAGGGAGAGGGAAAGGACTTAAGGACTTTACTGGCCCATTTTACAGACAAAGAAATCAAGGCTTGGGGAGGTAAAACCATGGCTCAAGGCCAAAGAGCAGGTAAAAAGTAGAACCAGAATTTGAACTCAGTTCTGTCTTCTACCTGGTGCTTCTCAAACTATTGCCTTAACAAGAGAAGGAAGCTCTTTCTCACTTCTGGAAGGTCTGAGGGTATTGTACTCACCCTAAGCTCCAAATTATTCAAAATTGTGTATTAAAAATCCTTACAAATTCTACACTCTACTTCTCACTAAAGGCATGTTCATTTTAGTATAAAATGTAGAAGAAGGAACTAGAAACTCACTCTTAGGGAAACATCCTAGTAATAACTGCTACCAGCATAACAGATGGTTGCCAAATTTAGTGGCAAATGTTTGAGGAGAAGGTATCTATGTGCCCAGGCTCCATTACCTGCCCAAGGTATTTATTAATTACAAAGGGTAAATTAGGAGTCTTACAATGGAGACACTTGGCAGATGCCACCTTAACCAAGTGACTGAGGTTAACAGCACAGCAATCCATACCAACAGCATGTGCCTCCTGATATGATATGCTGACAAGGGCCTATCACTTCTGCGGTGTTCTTGTCAAGAAGGCATAACTGCAGTCTAACTGTGAGAAAAATATCAGCCATATCCCAACTGAGGGGCATTCTACAAAATAGCCAACTGATACTCTTCAAAAGCGTCAAGGTCAAGAACACTGAGGAAAGACTGAGGGACTGTCTTAGAGGAGGAGACTAAGGAGGTGTGATGACCGAATGTGGGAGGGGGTTGTGGCTTGTGTCCCAGGCAGAAAGGGGACATTAGTGGGACTTGTGAAATCTGAATCAATCTGTGGTTTAGTTAATTGTACTAGCCTAAGGTTAATTTATTAGTTTTGATGGTTGTACTATGGTTGTGCAAGATATTAAACATCAGGAGAAACTGGGTGGAGGAGATACAGGAACTCTTTGTACTGTTTCTGTAACTTTTCTGAAAGTCTAAAAGTATTTCAAAATAAAAAGTTTCTAAAAAATGCAATAGGGTTGTCCTCATTCATCCCTTATCTCCCCCAAAGAAAAACCTTCAGGTGAAATCAATGCTCCTGAAGGATGTTCATGTAGACGTGCTGGCTTGGTGTGCCCCCTGACATATTTTGGAGACCCCCCAGGAGGCTCAAGAGGGGACAGGATGCTAGGTCCCTTTCTGTTCTCCCCCTCCAAAAAGAACTGATTCTCAGTTTCACAGAAGTGCCTGTTTGGGGAAACCTCAGGGTCTGTTTTGGCTGTTGACTGTGGCCTTGAAATCCTGGAAATATCTTGACAATTCAGCCATTTTCCCCACTAACGGGGAAAGAGGCCCAGAGACACAGGGTCACCCACAAACTGCAAGCAAGCCCAGCCAAACTTCTGCCTCTCAAGCTCCAAGTGAATTAGGACCTGGCCTCTGGAGTCACATGTGGGTTCAATCGCCACTCTACTATTTATTTAGCTGTGGGGTCTTGGGCCATACTTGACCTCTCTGGACCTGTTTCCTCACCTGCCATATAGGGGCAATAACAGTGCCCACGTCCTATTGGTAAGGATCAGACCAAGTCAGACAGTGCAGCTGTGCTCGCCATCACTGTCAGTATTATGATTATCACAAAGGCAGTGCTCTGCCCAGGGCCTTCTGGTAGGACTGAGTTAGCATTTTCCTGGGAACTGGGCATTGGTGCTAGTCCACACTTCTCCAACTTTTGCCTAAGTTCTTTTGCCTTCCTGGGCCTCAGTTTCCCCATCATGTCCCCCCTCTTGGGTGTGCCTGTGACTGGGGCCTTTGTGGCCACACTCACCTCTCACAGTCCGTGAAGACAAAGCGACGCAGCTTGAGATCTCGCAGGACAAGACCATGCTGGTGACAGTGCGCCAGGGTGGCGGCCATCTGGCTGAAGAGCGCAGCAGCCTGGGGCTCAGGGAGGCCACGGCAGCGGCGCACTAGGCTGTGCATGTCCCCATGGGACCGTGGGAAGAAGGTGTAGAGGTAGCGGGTGCCCGCCAGGACCTCGGCGGGCCGTGCCACATGCTGGTGGGGGGGCAGGCGTGAGTAGGGCTCCAGCACCGCCAGGGCCTCATAGACCGGGTACACCTGTGGGCAGAGCACAGCATGAGCACAGGTGCTACCTGTGGAGCCAGGGCTGGCTTGGAAACAGTCACAGCCAACACTTTAGTTACTACTGTGTTCTGGGCACGTGCCACACACTTCAGCAACCAGTCACTCAACCAGGACAAAGCTGAGAGGTCCCACATCCGACAAGTGGCAGAGCTGGGATTTGATCTGTGCACTCCATTCTCTTTGCTTTTAACTGCTACCTTACCTAGCTTTATATGTTCCATAATTGAAAAATAGCAAGTAACCCAAACAAAAATAACCCCCAAAGCAGAGGAAATCCTCAAGAGCGGATAATGCAGAATTAACTTCAGGTTCATCGTCGGCATGGCCACAGCTCCCATTCTCTAGGATTTCTGCCCTCCCAAAATTTCAATGCACCAGCAGGCACTGAACACCTACCAGTGTCAGCCACTGGGCTTCTAATTTGACTGAAGCCATGGTCCCTACCCACTGGTGTCCACAGTCCAATATGGGAGACAGTAAACAGGCCAACAAACTAAATATTTACAGGCCAACAAACTAAATATATTCCACAGGAACAAAGGAAGATGCTGGAATAGAAAATATTTGGGAAGAGGACACCTGTTTTAGAAAGTGTGGTCCAGATGGACTCAGGAAATGATCTGAAAGATTCAGAAATGCTGATGGGCTAAGCTTTCAAGGTCAGAGGCACAATCAATGCAAAGGTCCTGAGGCAGCAAAGAGCTTGAGGTGCTCTAGAAACCCAGCCAAAGATCAGTATGGCTAGAATGGGGTGGGGGAAGGAAGAAGAGCATCTCATGAAAGTGCAGCCAGTTTCTGAGCCTCAGCGCCCCTCTATCTATAAAACAAACCTGGTAACAGTAACTACTGCATAGATTGTGTGAAGGTTAGAAGGTATGCACATAAGCAATCAATGTAGTACTGTGCACAGGAAATACTATTATTGTCCTTTCTCATCTCTGTCCTTTTGGGCTGTGAGCCCTGCCAATATCCTGCGTGGGCCTGACCCTCAGGAGGCCTTGGCCCTGCCCATTTCCTGATTTCTGCCAAGAAACCTGATTTCTGCCAGGAACCCTGGACCTTGCCATAAGAGCTATGTGGCTTTGTGCATGGCCCTTCTCTCCTGACTTCAGTTTTTCCATCTGTAAAATGGCTATAGGTTAGGCCCAGTGACCCTGGCAGGGTCTCAGGGAACTCCTCCAGGGTCCCAGGAGCTCTGATGCCTATCACATTTCATCCTTCCCTAGTGCAAATATCTTTGGTGGCTCCCCACCACCCAGGGGCCACCAGCCCCCCTCTATACCCCATCTCCACTCTGGCCAGAGTGCAGTCCTTTGAATTCTCTGAAGCACATACCCTCACTTCTCTAGGCCTCTGAACAGCTGTTTCCAGTGCCTGGATCTCCCTTCTCCCACCTCTCCCTGGTTAATTCCTACTCAGCCTTTTCTGACACCTCCCTGACTACCTTAGAGGCTTCTCTTCTGTGCTCCCAAGGCCCCTAAGCTCCCCCTGGCAACATGTATGGTACTATAGGGCCTAAGCCATGAATTTCTCCAGGCCTGGGACTGTCTGGTTTACCTCCCTGGTCTCAGCCTAGCCCGGAACTTGACAGAAAGCTGGGGGCTCACTGGCTGCTTCCCCAGCAAATACAGGAATAAATTAATGTGAGGACCCTCAGCCCTGACAATCCTATGAAGCCAAAAGGCCCTTCTTAGGCCTTGCGAGGCTGGGGGAGAGTGGTCTCAAGGGATGTACCTTGCAGGTGTACTCGGTGCCTGTGGGGCAGTGCAGGGCCCGGTAGGCATGGCCACCCTCCTCAGGCTCCAGGAGGACATAGGGCCCAAGCTGGGAGGCAGTGGTCACAGCAGGGGCATGGACTGGAGCAGGGGGTGGGCTCAGGGTCAGCTGGCAGGGGGGCAGCTTGGGCTGGGGCCCGCTTCGTGCTTGTTTGTGGGTGGGATACTCAGTGTCCAGATCACCATCCAACTCCAACCTCTTCTTCCTGGAGTGGGCACCCACAGGAGCAGCCAGAGGGGTCGCTTGCATCTAGAAAGAAAGGGAGAAAGGCACTAAAGTGAGGCTGTTTGGTGGTCCCTCTCTTGCCTGCTGGTGGGAGGGTACACTGGCACAGCCTTTGCAGAAAGTGACTTGGCAGTGTGTATTAAACCAGCAAATGCACACCCCCAACTGGATGTCCCACTCCTAGGAATTTATCCTCCAATTAAAATTCCCACCAAAACTTAAATATGTGAAAGGCTGTTCATTACAGCCTTGTAACTAAAAGCAAAAGGCAGGAAATACCCCAAATGTCCAGCAGTCAGGGGCTGATTAAACGCCGTAGTATAGCCACATGGTGGAGTACTATACAGCTCTGGAAAAGGACCGCTAAACTCTGTACACACTGATGTAACAATGCAAGTACAAGGTTATTCCTGAGGCTCATGTGATATAAACAAACACCCATCATTAGGGGAATGGTTAAATAAGTTCCATTTCATCTATATATGGAATGATTATAGCCATTTAAAGATTTTTTTTAAAGGTGATACTTGGAAAGATCTCCAGAGTGAACTGTTAAATAAGAAAAAAGGTAAAGTGGAGAAATGAACTTGGTGGCTGTGAAAGGGAGGAAGAGAGGGTTAGCACTGTATCTGTTGAGTGTTGTGGTGCAGGCAGCAATTTGCCTACGAAAGGGAGGGAAAGTGGGAGGGGAGGCAGGAGGAGGGGTGATGGGTGATGAATGAATGAGGTATATACTGAGTGTACCTATGAATGTATGCTCTTATGATCTCACTTATGCGAAAAACTGCACCAGCCTCTAAAATGATGTATCTCCCTATTTGTATATATGTAGGCGTGTAAATCTACAGGAAAAGTCCTGGAAGGACACAGGCTTGGTAGCTCAGTACCCAGGCCACAGTAGCTCCTGGCTTCCTGGAAAGCCTCCAGGAGAAGAAGGGATTCGGTAGGGAACTTTCAATTCTAGTATTTTAAAATAAAGATTCTGCATTCCTTTACTGCTGGAATATTTCAAAACAGGTAGAGTGTATTTCTTTTTTTCCAAATGTGAACTTTGTCTACTATTGCCTGATGGTCCCAGAGCTACCAGAATCACAAGATCCACATGCAGAATTAGTCCACCAGACAGCTTAGTTTCACCATCTGGTGAGAAGGGAACCAATGACGGGATGTCCCTCAAAGGCCCCAAGATTCCCTCATTCAACTGTGGAGGAAGCCACCACCAGTGCAGTTGTGGAACAGTGTGTGTGGTGGGTAGGGGAGAGGGCAGTGGCATGTGAGGGCAGAAAGGTTCTCTCCCTGACCCATCGGCCCACCCACTCAGACTCCAGATGAGGACAAGGAGCCTAAGGATGCGGTGGTAGAAGGAGATGGACAGCAGCCCAGTTAAAGAACCTCCCAAGAGTCCCAGGCAGGATTAACCAGGAAATTAATTAGCACTGAATCCATGCTCAGACTGAGGCCACCTCTCCAGTCAACTGCTCCCCAGTGCACAGGCTGCCTTGGAATGGAGGGAACCCCCACATCAGGTGAAAGGCCATAATCCCCACTTGGTAAGAATGCAGTAGGGGTGGCTATAGTCAGATATTCCTAGGTTCTAATCCTGGCTCAGACCCTTCCTGGCTGGGTAGTTGTGGGCAAGTTCTTCAACCTTCCTGTGCCTCAAGCCCCTCATCTGTAAAGTGGGAACAGGATGCAAAGCCCACAAGATTCTTGTGATGATGAAATGAAAACACAAATAAATTAGAGTGGCTCTCTTGAAGGTGAGTGTCAGGAAATGGTCACTACTTTTGGTCCATTAGTATTATTGTTATTCATAGCTGAAGATGCTACCCTTGAGAGTCTCAGAAATCTTCCCAGGAATTAGGCTAGGAAGACACTCCTTACCTAGGCGGCTGTTCTGACAGTCAAGCCAGATGATCTCTGACTGTGTAGCAGCTTTGTGCCCTGTGAAGCAGGACCCTCCCCCAAGTGCTGCTCTCCAGAGGCCACGCCTGCACTCCAGGCTGCCTGGCCATATCCATGCTTCAGAGCCTGGTGGGGCCTATGATAAGCTCCACTGGACAAAGGGGGTAACTGGGTCTCTGATGAGCAAGGGACTTTGCAGGCCATGCTAGAATCTCTACTGTAGGATGAAAGTGGTCCCTAATAACTAACCACCTCTGGCTGTTCCCTGACACCCCTCGGGGTGGGGGGAATAAGGACGGTTCATACCAAACACTCCCAGAACCCAGGGCAGACAGGTGTACACACGCCCCTCAAAAACACACTTTGCCTAAGCCAGCCAGCAGAAACATATCCAGGGCAGAGACAGGCACACACATTAAGTGACACACACCTTGCCCTCCATGGGCCTGCCTGCCCGCTCACACACACACCAAGCTCTCCAAGCTATCACACTAAGGAGTGCACCACTGATACCCACAGGCCACACTCACAGTCTGACGCACACACCCTCCCCCAACCGGGCAGAAGGCAGTCGGCAGAAGGCCCCGCCCTCCGCAGCCAGGCTCCTCCCGTGGGAGCGGAAGCCGCGGCTGGTGGCCTCAGAGCCGAGGGTTCAGCGGAAACCGAGGGGCGGCGGGGGGCTGGGAGCGAGGGAGGCAAAGGGAAAGAGGCTAGGGCCCAGGGGTGGGAGAAGGGGCGAACCTCGACCCTTGTCCCCCACACCCCAGCGTCTGCAGGCACAACACAGAACATCCCCGGGAACAAAATACCCAAGCGCACAGTACAACCCGCAGAGCCTCAGCCGCATCGCCGGACGCACACCTGCATCCCGCGTTCCGCATCCTCGCTCGCACTCTCCCTGCACACGCCTTCGGCCTCCGGGGCACCCCAGCCTTGTTCCCGCCATGTCCCCCGCACCGCCGACACCTGTCACCAGGTATGCAGCCTTCCCCACAGCTCGCGCCGCCCATGGAGACACAGAGCCCCGAGACACTTCCCCACCTGGACTCCACAGGCTCCCGCGGACCCCCGCAGAGCCACCCCCCAGTTACACAGGCCCTGCATGCAGCCCCCCTTCCCTCCAGGTCCCTCACATACAGACCTCCTCTCACCGAACCACACAACTGCCCTGTCCCCTACTCACACAAAACAGACAACCGCACACCCCTCTCGGAGCGACACTGGACACCGCAGTCACGGCTTCCTGCGTCCCCGGGACACAGCTGCCAGGCCAGACCTGTGCACACCCTCGCCCAGCCCTGGGGGCCCGTGTCACCTGAGACCCGGGAGGAACACTCGGCCCAAGTCGCCACCCCAGACGGCGGGTTTTGTTAAAAGTTGCGTGTGTGTGTGTGTGTGTGTGTGTGTGTGTGTGTGTGTGTGTGTGTGTGTCGGGGGGGCGGGTGTCTCTAACACGCAGCAGCCCCCCGCCGCCCCTGCAACCCTCCCGCCCCAACTCTCCCGGCCTCCACGGGTACCTTGCCCTCGCTGTGGCGAGGTCCTGCCGCCTCCCCAGCGGAGTCCCAGGGCACCCGCAGGTGGACTGGGTCCGCGGCGCTGCGGCTAAGCTCGCGGTCCCGGTGAACCTCTGCCCCGGCTCAGCCGTCGGACGCGTGCGGAGCCGCCGCCGCTTCCGCCGCGAGTGTCCCGGCGGCGCCGGCACCGGGCTCCGGCTCCCTGCCGGGTGATGTAAACCTGAGCTAATCCGCCGCCTGATGCCCTCAGGCCCGGGATTGCACCATCCCCGAGCTCCGCCCCTCGGGGTCACCGCCCGAGCGCGCCCCGCCCCGGCCGCTAGCGTTGGGTCCCGGCACTGGCCCCTCACCCCCCAGCCTCCCCGGCCCTCGGAGGATGCCTGGCCTCCACCTCCTCCCGCTCCCGCCGCGCGCCTGCAGATTGAGCGCGGATGCCGGCCACAGTCTCTCCCTATCACCTGGGAAAAAGCATTTCGCTTTCCTGAGCGTCAGTTTTCCCATCTGTGAAACGCGAAGAATATTATCCCTCCTCAGGATGGCGCTGAGGAGGCAGCAAACCCGGACTGCTTCCCGGCTGCTTCCCCATTTATAAAGCCCTTCCTACCCCTGCTTTATTAAACCTTTAGGAGGAACCGGGGGAGGAAGTTCCAGTCTCCCATTCTACTAAGGGGCGGCCTCTGTGGAAAAGCAGTCCGGGAGCTTCGCTAAGACCGCAGACTCCAGGCTCAAAAGAACCCATGTGGTGCCTGGGAGACCTGAGATCGGGTGCACGGCACAGCATTTCATTCACTGGTAGAGGCAGTGGAACCTAGAACCAACTTGCCTAGACCCACTGCAGTCTACGGGAAAGCTACTTAAGACCCAATTTTAGTTTACTCCTCCGTAAAATGGGTTTATCATAGTACTGACTTCATAGGATTTGTGTTTGGCTTAAATAAGTTAATACATGTAAAATGCTTGGCACTGTATGGCACATGCTGGATGTTCAATAGAGTGAAAACAGTGGAAGCTCGGAAGGCAGGGTGCCTATTACAGGTTATGCACCCCGGGCCTGGAGGCCCCGGTGCCCCTAGCTCTTTGGTGAAGCATCCCTGTGCAGCCCCAGGGGTCCAGCGCCTTTCTTGGAAATTCCTTTCAGATCTTAGTGTCTGAATTCACCAGTGTCAAAAAATAACTCCTCCCTCCTGGCAGGGGTTAGATGGGATGTGGGTGGAGTTACCTCTGTTCCTCTAGTTCCAGAACCCCAAGGGCCAGCTCTCCCGCGTCTCAAAGCCTTCAGAGTGTACCAGGGGGCTGCAGTATCTCTTTTAAGCTTGGAAACTCCCCTGCCCTGGGGAGGGAGGGATGAATGAGCTCATTTTCTAGAGTTCATAGGGTTGCCTACACTAAGGTTGAAGATCCTACCGCTGTAAGAGGAGAAGGAAGGTGTTGGGGTTTTTTTTGAGCCCCTCAGTGAAGCTGGCACTGGGCTGGGTTTGCTCACACATTCCTGTTTCATGCTGTGTCAGACTCTTGTTATAAGTGCTGGTGATTCAGCAGTGACAAGACTGACCTATCCCTGCCCTAACGGATCTTATAAATCATTGAAAAGATAGAGCGCTATCAGGAATATAAAATCAATAACCCAGATCATTTCATGTAGCTTATACGTGTCAGGTATTTTCTTGATTAAATAGGACAGATGAGTTCTTTGTCAGATACAACTGAGGAGTGCTTATTTTCATTAGGGCTCAGCAGGAAGATGATGTTTAAATTAAGATTTTAAGGAAGAGAAGGGGTGAGACTTGCGAAGATGTGATAGGACACAGAGAAAAAAAAAAGTGCAAAGGCCCTGAGGCACCTAAGGAACTGAGTTGAGCCCTGTCACCTCCATTCTACAGATGAATCACGGTGAGGGACTTACCTTAAGACCACTTATGAAGTGGACTTGACATTTGAACCTGGGCATGCTGTCCTGGGATATTTCACAACCTCTGCAACAGGTAGCCTCTCCCTGGACTCGTGGATATGGTCTCTGGAACTGCTCCCTGGGCATGTCCCCCAGGTTTGGGATCCTTGTCAAATCCCAATTCTCTAGACCAGCCCTTTCCAGTAGAACACAATACGAGCCACCTATAAATTCCCTAGTCATGCATTAAAGAAGAATAAAAAGAAATAGATGAAATTAACTTTAAGGATATATTCTATTTAATCCTATATATCTAGCATATTATCACTTCACCAGATAATAAAGTATTACTAATGAGGTCATCTAAAATATTTTCATACTAATGTCTTCTAAATCTGGTATGTATTTTACACCCAGTTGGAACATAAATCAGCATGGAAGCTAAAATTCAGTGGTTAAAGTGAAATGTTGTCCTACCCAAACATTTAAATTGTGTTTAATGGGAAAAAAAACATTTTACCTGTTTTAAAATTAAATTTCAATAAAATGAAAAAACTCAGTTTTTCAGTCACACTAGCCATATTTTAAATGCTCAGTAGCCATGTAGTAAATGGTACCGTAATGAGTAGCACAACCCCAGACCAAGAATTCCTGACACATGGTACAGGGAAATAGCTGAGAAGTGAATACCTGTTGGGTCTACAGTGGCCCTGAGTGCTTTGTCAGGTGTCGAATAGCCTTGAGCCTTGAGCCTCTGCATCTGTAAAATGGGATTCATTATACCTACTTTACATTGTAGTCTTCAGGATTAAATGTGTTAAAGCATCTTCATGTCATAGTCAAATCACATTTCCTGAGTTTACATCTTACTATCTCTGAGTGGTGAGATTTTGGATAAGTTATTTAAGCTTTCTGTGCCTCAGTTTCCTCATTTGTAAAACAGATAATAACAGCCACTTCATTGGTTTGTCATAGGGATTCAATGACTTACTATTTGTGAAGCACCTGGAATATAAATGCTATATAAGTATGTGTTAAAAAGTGAGAAAAGAAATGGCGACACTCACCCCCCAAATTAAATAGAAAAAAATGTGCACTTTCCTGGAGAGAGAGTTTCATTTTCACAAATACCCTTTTTTCCAGGCTCAGAACATCCCTCTACCCAGGTGCTTGAGCCAAGCAGGCTGCATTTCTATTTGCTGTAGTTCTGATGGCCCTCCACACTGTGGGGAGATCTCAGGAGGGCTGCGCTCTGAGAGGGAGGGCAGAAGGGGATGGGCTGAGGACTGCTGTAACAGGAGCCGCCCTGCCTCCCTCCTTCCCACCCAGAGTCGAGGGGTGCCTGCTACATGCCTGAAATCCCACCACTGGTGTCCTTAAAACTTTTTCCCCATGGAAGGGCCCTGATGCCTTGGAAAGAGTTCTGTGGGAGTAGGTCTGGTTGAAGCCACTGACTCGGTGAGATGAAGGCAAGCCACCTCCCCTTGGGGGCCTTAGTTTTCTTATATGTAAAACAGGAAGAGAGAGTTAGATTAGGTCAGTGTTTTCCAAAATATAAAATGAGCACCAGAGGTAGGATGCCAGGTGATTTTAGAGTCTCAAGAGACTATTAAATAGCATTGAATCATGTTGTGACCCACATATTTCCTTTTGCTTTTCTTCCTGTTCCCCTAATTACTGGGAGAGAAAGTCTTGTTTAACAGCCCCCGTATGTCTTTAATACCTGACTTGTGGAGGAACAAAGAGCAGGGCTCAGCTCAGCATTGTCAGTAAGAATCAGGTTTAAGAATCTTGTTTTGCTTTCCTTGTATTTAAATAATTTTATGGTTACTTCTTCTTTATGCCCAATGATAGTGACTTTCCATGTGAGGTCAGTGATTTAAATTTTCCATTTTAAATAAATTTACCTAAGTTTTTAAAAATGAGCTGATTGAAAGATAAACTTTATGGAATTAATAATACAGATATGTAAATGGATTTGGGACAGTCAATTTGGGAAGGATGGTGTGATTCAAGAGTTGCAATTCTAGGCCTGTGCTTCTCTTGGGGAGCCCTTAGTAGGATACTGAACACCTCCCCTTTCTCTGGGGCCTCCCAGGGGTTTTGCAGAAATCTTTCATTATCTGAATCTGGTGCAGTCTGGGCCCCAGGAATGGTAGGAAGGCCAGTACCTGGGTACAGCATCAGCCCAGCAGTGGCCCAGTGGCAGGCACAGCCCTGCTGGGTAACCCTGCTCTGCCCTGTGAGCCCGGGTCTTCTTGAAGAATGTGATTCTTGTACCTATGGATGGAGCATGGCTGTTTGTGGGTGTTTCCCTTACATCATCTCACTGCATCCTCAAACCTTCCTCCCAAGTTTCTGTTTTATCCCTGGAAACAGATGAGGAAACAGGCTCAGAGAGGTGACATCACTGACTTAAGGAGTGAGGGGGCAATGGGAATTAGGAGCCAGTCCATCTGGCTTAAAGCCCAGTGGTCTTTGTTTCCCGCATTATGCCACATTCTTGGCCTGTACTAGTATGACACTGGGCAAGTCCCTTAGCTACTCTGAGACCCAGGCCCTTCATCTATACAA